TCCTTTAAGGTTGCCACTACTAAGTCCTGTATAATCCTGATTATGACTCCCCGATTTTTTAATTATTTCTTTCTGGCCATTTGCAGTATTTTTTCCTTGACCTGATAGTTCTGTAATTTAGCTATAATGGTCCTTGGAGTTTTTATTTTGTTATCTCTTTCCTAAGGTGATCAGTGGATTTTTTTCAATGCCTATATTACCCTCTGGTTCCTGGATATCAGGGCAGTTTTCCTTGATAGTTTCTTGAAAGATGCTGACCAGGTCCTCCTTCTCATTATGGCTTTAAGATAGTCTAGTGATTCTGACATTACCTCTCCTGGATCTATTTTCTAGGTCAGGTGTTTTTCCAATGAGGTATTTTACATTTTCTTCTTTTTTTTCATTCTTATGAATTTGTTTGATTGATTCTTGATCCTTATAGAGTTGTTAGCTTCTCCTTGCTCTCTTCTAACTTTTAAGGAGTTGCTTTCCCCAGTTAGCTTTTGTACTTCCTTTTCCATTTGGCTAGCTGTACTTTTTTAGGAAGATGTTTTCTTCAGTGGATTTTTGTATCTCCTTTTCCATTCGGCCAGTTCTACTTTTAAGCAGTTGTTTTCTTTTTCCAAGTTGTTGATTCTTTTTTCATAATTCTCTTGCATCACTTTCATTTATTTTCCTTATTTTTCTTCTCTCTCTGATATGATTTTTAAGCTCCTTTATGAGCTCTTTCTTAGGTCTTTCTGGGCTTGAGACCACATCCTATTTTACTTTTGCCAATACTTGTTTTGACATTGTTGTCCTCTTCTGAGTTGGTGTCTTGGTCTTTCCTGGTACCATAATAACTTCCTATGGTCAGATTTATTATTATTATTATTATTATTATTATTATTATTATTATTATTATTATTATTATTGCTGATCTTTTTTGGCCTTTTACCTTTTTTTTAAAATTTGAGCTCTGCTCCTGGGGTACAAGGGGAACTGTCTCAGGCTACCTCTGCCAATGGCTGCAAGTCCTGGCTATTTATGTGGTGCTGCACTAATGTTGCCCTGAGTTCCATGGGAGACCCTCGTGTATGGTGCTGCACTGAGGGGGTAAGATGGGGGTGGCTGGCACTGCTGGAGGCTGTAGGGGTCTGGTTTATTTGGTGCTGAACAAGGGTCCTAGTGCTGGTGTATGACATAAGCTGAGTCCAGTGTTATATTTGTGTGTTTCCCCGGGGTTACACTGAAGTACATGGTGGTCTGGCCTCTGGAGGTTGCCTGTTTGCCTGGAGCTATGCTGAAACCAGCACTAGTGGCTTCCTGTTTGCTTTGGCACCTGTCAGGTTGGCATCTACATGTTTGTCCCAGGCTGTGCTGAAGCATGGGGAGGTCTGGCTACTGGAGGATGTCTATTTCTCCAGGGCTATGCTGAAGTACATGGTGGTTCTCAGAGCTGGAACCTGTTGCTTCCTCTGGCTATGCTGAGGCTTGTTGGGGATCCTGGGATTGGCATTCCATAGCACTGGGGCTCAGGATCTCCCACTGGTTTGTATTAACCAGTCTAGAACCAGCCTCTAATCTGTGAGTAGCCAGGGCTGCACAAAGCAGGCCAGAGGCAGGAAATCAGGACAGAAATAGAAGTTTAATTTCAAAGTGAGAAAATGCTTGCTATAGGTGTAATTTCCGAATCAGCTATGTAGCCAAAGCTTAGACAGAACAAAGGTTAATATGAACCTTAATTAGTAGAAATGATAAAGATGAGAAGGCATTGTATACAATTGTATACAGCAGCTCCAACATGATCTCTTCAAAAAAATTGTTAACTCCAAAAAATTGGGAAATGGATAACAGTTTAATCATCACCACTCTATAGAGAAGTTTAACCAATGTGAAGATGTCACCACAATAAGAAGGCCAAAAGAATCTCAAAATTGCTTCAGCCAACATTTTTGCTTCTTGTCAAATGAAACAGTGAAGCAAAAAGGCCAACAGTGGCACAGGGTGCAAATTTGTAAGCAAAGGAGAGGGATGAAAGATTCTGAATACTACCATCTCACAAAATAACAACCAAAATAGTGACAGGTATTAAGGGCTGTACAGGGTCCCCTGAACTTGATACAGGGAAAATGAGCCTAGAGAAAGTGTGGGAAGACACTGTACTGATCCAGACCATCACTTCCTGATCCCCCTTGATCTTAGTGTCTTCCCTCTGTTCCGCCTCTCTCTGATTTATCCTGTCTACATCTTGTTTGTATATACCTATTAGACTGTGAGCTCCTTGAAAGCAGGAATTGTGTTCTGCTTTTCTTTTAACTCTAGCCCTTAGCACAGTGACTGACACATAGTGGGCACTGAATAAATGTTTATTTACTCACTGATTGTTCTGAAAGTATTTAAAGATTAAGCTGGAAGTATGCTAAGTGCTTTACAAATATCTCATTTGATTCTCACAACAATCCCATGAGGTAGGTGCTGTTATTACCCCTATTCTACAGTTGAGGAAACTGAGGCAGATAGATCACTTTTGAACTCTGGTCTTCCTGACTCCAGCCCTATTGCTCTATCTACTGTGTCACCTAGCTTCTTCACAATAATAGCTAGATATAGCACTTCAAGGAATGCAAAGCACTTTTCAAATATAACCTGTTTTGATCCTCACAACAACTCTAGGAGGTAGATGATATTGTTATCATCCCCATTTTTATGAATGAGGAAATTGAGGCAACAGAAATTAAGTGACTTGCCCTAGGTAATGCAGATAAGAATTGGCTGAGTCCAGATTCCAATTTAGGTCTTCTGACTCTAGGTCCAATGCTCTGTCCAGTGTTTATGCAGTAAACATTTATGACAATAGAACCACCACATTTGGACCATAAACCACTCAGTACCTTATGTATTATATGAGGAAAAAAATGGCATTTAAGAAGATAGCTTGGAATAGTGACTGGCCTTGACTAAATATTAACATGAGAAATTAATGCTCGAGTGTGAAGGCACCAAGGAATCAGTTTTTTCAGATATGTCCGAAATGAAGTTATTCTATAATGTAAAAAAAAAAGATAAATGATAATATTGTCTTCTAAAAGTAATTGAGATTATATCAGCCCATATGCCTGCTTTTATATTTCTATAAAATGTGTACAACAATGGTCAGTGACCATTTTTTTGAGTATTCTGGGTGAAAATAAGGGAAGGGAACAGGTAAGTTTTCACAAGTTGTTTTCTGTAGTAGGTCACATCTTCACAGTTACACATTCGATAGTCTACAATCATTTTTTATTAAATATTTACTAAGTTTCAGGCTCAGTGCTAAGCAATGAGAAACAAAGAAAGGCAGAAACAATATTTGTCCTCAAGGAGCTTGCTTCTAATTCTAATGGGGGAAAACTAATTGTATAGCAAATAGGCAAATCCCTTATCACCATCACTCATAAACCTCTCCTCTGAGGTTCAGGTCAATTGGTATCTACCACAAAATCAAAATTTGGGTAACTTTTATCGTCCAACCTCCAGAACATGCCTTTCATTTCTTCAATGAGTTCTCTGTTTGGTTCACAGTCTTTCTTTCCTCCTGCCCTCATCTCAGGGGATTCTGACATATATATTATTATTCTCTCAAATACCATGACCTCTCAGCAATTCCCAGGGTTGTTGTGTGTCACATGATATTTCATAAGTAAAAATGCTTTGTAAAGCTTAAAGCCCTACATAAATGCTTGGTTTAGTAGTAGTAGTAGTAGTAGCAGCAGTAGTAGTAGTAGTAGTAGTAGTAGTAGTAGTAGTAGTAGTAGTAGTAGTAGTAGTAGTAGTAGTAGTAGCAGCAGCAGCAGCAGTAGTAGTAGTAGTAGTAGTAGTAGTAGTAGTAGTAGTATAGTAGTAGTAGTAGTAGTAGTTATTGCAGTAGTACTTGTATGATTTTTCCAACTTCAGTAGAATAGATACTTGGAAAATTGAAGGAGGAAATAAATTTAAAGCTAGACTAAATGAACATCATTTATTCATAGCTGGCCAGTTATTGTTTGTTCCAAAAAAGCTTGGCCTCTAGAGATGATAGCCCTTCTGGAGAGAAAATCCTTATATAGATGATTCACTGAAATAGCTAAAGGTCAACCCCATGGATTCTCAGCAAAGATAGACATAGAAAGGATCACTTATTCTCCCATGGAAAATTAAAATCACCTTGTGATACTTACAGCCAAGTAAACAAGCATTTTTTAAGCGTCTACCATAAGCACTAGGTACAAACAAGGTCTGTAGAAGATGCGTTGAGGTAACCTCTGAGATAAGGCTTTAAAGCATTAAAAACCATTAAAAGGGATTCAGGAAAGGCTTCTTAAAGAAGATGGAATTTTAGCTGAGAATTGAGGAAGCCATAAAGTAGAGGTGATGAATAAGAAAATTTCTGGCATTAGTGACAGCAGGTGAAAATGCAGTAAGTGGGGAGATATAGTATCTTGTGCAAGGAACAGAGAGGAGGCCATTGTCATTGAATTATATGTAGAGTTAAGAAGAGAGTAAAGAGATTAAGTATATATAAGGACTGGGAAGGTAGTAGGAGGCCAAGTTATAAAGGTTTTTAAATGCCAAGCATAGGGTTTTATATTTGATATGGGAGGTGATAGGGAACCAATGAGATGTTATCAAATGGGGAATGATAAGGAAAGAGTGGGAGAAAGGGGAAGAGAGGTACAGGAAAATAGCTAGCATTGGTGGACAAATCAGGTTAGGATTTGTAAAGGATGGAAAACAAATGTTTGTAGGCAGTAGCAAAACAGACGGTAGACAGGAAGAAATTTAAAATCGGAGTGACAATAGAGAGGGCAATCTTCTGGAAATGATAAAATTGAATGGAGTCACTGGTGCCTGTAGACGGGTTGACCTTTCAAAGAACAACGTCCATCTTTTCATGTCAGATAGTGGTGAAGGCGGAGAAAGTGAAAGAAGACATCTGAGTGATATGAAATGAAGAGGGGATAAAAGGGAACTCTTGGTGAATGGTCTCATTTTTTTTTTTCATGGACTCCTGTGATGGTCAGAAGCCAATGGGGGAAAAGAATCTTTATAGCCCCATGCCTACTGGAACTTCTCCCTGTTTCCATTATGAGACAAGTAGAGTATGACCCACAAGCAACCAGAGTGCAAGCAGACGCTAGTGCACGCCACATGTAGAAGGCCCGACAAGAAACAGTTTGATGACATTGCCAGGCATTGGCAGCCCTCTAGCATGGAAGGTGAGTTGCTTTACCATGCATGTGCCACCTCTGTTCCCTATGTGTGTGTGACCCTCCATTTGTGTGCCCTGGCCTTACTCCTTAGGTAAATACACTGCTCCCACTGATGCTGTGTGTTGATAGGAAAATGCCCCCCACAATTTTGTTTGGAATCTTGTTTCTGCTTTTCTTGCTGTATCATGAAGTCAAATGCCTTTGCTTTGAACTGTTGTCTCTGACTAATAGAAACAAACACATTTATAAGGGCTTGTGAGCCATAGTTTTGACTGGTTTTCACAAGAAACCCATGTTAATTCCATGGGTTTTTGAAGTTCTTTTCTTACCTTGCTTGAGTTAATAGTTACAGTTAACTTGGCCAGGATCTGGAAATATTAGAATAGAAAGTAAAAGGAGGGTGGTAACGCATTAGGAAAAATGTTGTTTGTGCTTTTATTTTATAGAAAAGACATGGTAATTTAATTAGACAATACCACCCTTTTCAAAGGAAAATTCTAATTTCTAATGTAGGACATATTAAGCCATCCCCCTTTCTATTTTATAGGTACTCCTTTGTTCAAACTGGGGGAACATGCCTTTTAAGAACTAGCAGCTTTGAAGGTTAATATTTTACTTGCTATACTCTTACCCTTTCTGTAGTGTTGGCAATAGATGCTTTTAATGGCATCCTGATTTCAGGGCTTTTAACAATTCAGCCTAATTTCTAAATACATATATGGTCAATGGATATGAACAATCAGTTCTCAGAAGAATTGTCTCATATCAAAAATAACTGAGGTTTCACCTCACACACAGCAAACTGTCAAGATGACAAAAAATGGAAGCAGGTCAATGGGAGGGCTGTGGAAATACAGAATGATATACTTTTGGTGGAATTGTGAATTGGCCCAATCATTCTGAAAAGCAATTTGGGATTATGCTAAGAAAATTAATAAATGTCTATATTTGACCCAGAGTTCTCACTGCTAGACATGTGCCTCAAGGAGGTTAAAGATAGAAAGAAAGGTCCATGTACACCCAGATTTTTAGAGCAGCACTTTTTTTTTTAAAGCAGCAAATATCTAGAAATGGTAGATGTTTATCAATGGGGGATGGCTAAGCAAATATTTGTACATAAACACAATGGAATTTAATTGCACTGTAAGAAATGATGAATCTGAAGAATATAGAAAGCATGAAAAAACATAAACTGATGCAGAGTGAAGTAAAATAGAACCAGGAAAATAATGTCTATAACAATTGCAACAATGTGAATGGGAAGAACAAAAATAACAAAAACAAAACTGAACCCTGAACAATTATAACCAAGATTGTGCCCAAAGAGAGGAGAAAATCTCCCTCCCTTCTTTGTATTGGTAAGAGACTATGAGATTGGAACATTGCATATACTAACTCAGTTGATGTGTGGTTAGTTTTTTTTTTTTAACATTTTTTCTTTTCCCTCTCTTATTTGTATTCTGTTATAAGGAATGGTTTTCTGGGAGGAGGAAGTAGTGAAAGGATATAATGGGAAATTAAGGAGATATAAAATGAAAAACTTAATTTAAATTTAAAACTGTCCCCTATGTTTTTGGACGATAACTGAGTTTTGGGAAGTACTTTCGGAGGTTGCTGGTCTTCTGTTACCTTGGCTGGTGGGCAATGTTGAAATAGCTGTATTGGTAGCGGCCAAGCCTCAGTTCTCAATCATTAGGCATCAGTGAAATAATCACTGTACTATACACAAACAAGAGTCTCCTTTTCAGAAGCACAAAACAAGGCCTGTTTAACTTCTGCCACTTCACAGTGTTTTTGGTGAACTAGACAAAGAGGACTTACTGTTCTAAGTGAAAGGTAGATTAAAAAGCAAAATAAAGCTACTGCAACATATTCCCATGCTTCTGCCCTGAATATTTAAAAATCATGTTCACATCTGTTGCATCCAAATGCCTAACCTGATTTGTAGGGATAAATGGGTTAGATAACCAACAACAGTGGCCTGCTGGCAAATGATTACAGTAGTTGATTACTTCTATAAACGGCCAGAAATCACCTTTGCTTCTCAAATTACTTCTCCAAGCTCTTGCTAAAATTGTTTAATTGTTGTGAAGGCAGCACACAGGAATTAGGTCCTCACAGTTCTTGTCTAGAGACTCTGGGGAATTTTGAAAGAAAAGAAAATGATTAAAACCAGAATGTTACCCATTTTTTTTTTATACTCAGGCTAATGGGGATATAGGAAGCCCTAGTCGTTCTGAAAGGCCTATGTAATCTGGGGATTTACAAAGCAAATTGGAGAAAAGTAAAAACTCTGTTTTGTAGATGTCTTATAGGGTCACTTGATATCATTGTCTAACATGAATAGTCAATAATATTGATGTCAGGAAGAAATCAAGCTCAAATATAATTTTCCCCTCAGAAATCACCATAGCATAGTGGAAAGAGTACTAGAATTAGGATTAGAAGGCCTTAGGTCAAGCCTTATTTCTGTCAGTTACTTGGAGATTTCGCTTAGTTCTCTGAGCTTCAAAATCTTTATAAAGTAAGATAATATTTTTTAAAGGAGGTTATTGTGAGATGATGATAATGATAGCTAATACATTAAGGTATAAAAAGAATTATTTATATGTTATATCACTTTGTCATCATAAGAACTGTTATTATCTCCACTTTATATATGAAGAAGCTGAGGCACACAAAGGTTAAGTGACTTACCCAGGGTCACACAGTAGGTGTCTGAAGCAGGATTTAACTTCAGATCTCCTGACTCCAACTTCAACAGTTGATCTCCTGCACTCTCCAGCTAATGTATGTGAAAATGCTTTGTATAGTGCTATAATACCATGAGGTATTAGTTTTACTATTTCTTTCATATCAGCAGACTCAACTAAGTTTAGGAAAGCTGTGGGAGTTTCTTTATAATACCATAAAGAGGGGGGATTGATTACTATTTACAAATATTGACATAGCCTTAAATCTGACAGCAGCAACAAAATGTATTAACTGATTTTAAAGCATTTCAAAATTTTGATAACTAATAACTGCTTTCCTCTTTTTACTTGGTCAAAATGTTACTGATGAAATGATGACTTTGGATGGACAATGGGGCTTACCGGAATTTTAGGTTATTTTCATAAGAAGCATCAATTTGCTCAATAGGGCCTAAAGCTAGGATTATGTCGTGCCTGGATAGACTCAAAGTGGAGTTGTAGATTCCTGAAAAAGGGCATGTGTGGATATACACAAACCATTTGTATGTATATATGTATAAATATATGTACGTATACATGTGTGTATATATGTGTATGTGTATATTCTTACATATACACATGCACAAGTAAAATCATTGGCTATTTAATTGTTATGGTTAGAGTTGGGCAACAGGTTAACTTGTACTAACCTTTGGCTACTGTCTCCATACTCCTTTCTCTCAAAGGTACAAAGGAACAAGACAGAACAGTACTTAGAAAGTAATTGTCCCATTGTCATTTCAGACTCCATATGCGCAAAGCTGAACTCACCATCTCTTCCTCCAAGTTGTTTTCCCTCTCCAATTTCCCATTTCTGTTAATGGGTATTTGATTCCTCCAGTCCCTCAGTTTTCAGGACACTTAACTAGCCTTTGTGGACCTTTATCTCTCCATTGTCTTCCATATTCAACATCACCAAGTTCTGTTGTCTTCCTGTGCTCTCTTGAACTAATCTATTTCTCTCCATTCACATGACCATCCCTATAATCAAGGCCCTCACATCTTTAGTTTGTTTAATTGTGAGCAAAAAAAAAAAATCAGCCAAAGCTGGTTTGAGAAACGGCTCTTTGCATCCGTTTGACCAGAGTTCTGTGTTGTAATCAATTGAAACTTACAGCAAAGTTAATGATACATTTGTTTAATGATATTCACAATAGTTTTTGTACTACATTATAATCAGGTATAAATGACAAATTCACATAAATGACTATAATTAGTATTACTTTTATCCCCACATTCAAACTAAGTATTTCTAGAATCGATAAGAGAAAAGAGAAAAAGGCAGAAGGAGGGTAGAGAAGGAAGCATCTCTGAGACTTCTTTTCAGACCTCTGGATCTGTAGCTTTGCTGGAATCAAGGCAGCCATGGTCTCTTCTTTCTCTGCATGAGATTCCTATCATATTTTTTTTCTTAGAAAGAGAATCCATCCAGGGAAATTGATCTTTGCTTTGATTTTCCTCTTACTGACTTTTTTTGAGAATATTCGTATGCCTGAGTTTCTCTATGATTTTATTGATCTAGGTACTACCCCTAGTGGTATAGATGACAGTCCATCCATACGGCTTATTCCAAGTTCACATATACCTGTAAATAATCCATAGGGATTTGCCCAAAGTGTTGGGGGGCCTTCTTCCAGCACTCAGATCCATCTTCCATATGTCTAAAAAAGTTATTTTCCTAAAATTCAGGTCTGATTATGTCACTCCTTTTTCTCGATCTCCTTCTTCCTTTGGGATCAAATATAAACTCTTCTGTTTGGCATTTAAGCCCTTCACATCCTGATCCTTATCTTTTTTTTTAAAATCAATTCTCACCTTTATCCATTCTGTGGTCCAGCCAGCCTTCTAGCCACTCCTCACACACAACACACTGTCATCCATCTCCAGGCTTCTGCTCTGGCTCTCCTTCATGACCTTAATGCACTCCCTTCTCTCCTCTGCTGCTACAAATCCCTCATTTCCTTCCAAATTCTCCTCAAGTGCTACCTTTTACAAGAAGCTTTTCCAGATCCCCTCAATTTCTAGTGGTCTACTCCTACCCCTAATTTCCTTGTATTCATTTTGTGTATACTTTGTATATACAAGCTATCTCCCTCAATAGACCGTAAGCTTCCTGAGGGCAGGAAAGATTTCATCTTCATATCCCCAGTGCCTTGCTCAGTGTGTAGTATATAGTAAGCACCTAATAAAGACTCAATTATTGAATGATTTCTCTATATCTTGATGATTATTGTCATTGTTGTTGTTTGTCCTTCGTTTTTGAAGAACATGGCA